TGTGTTTGTGCAGGCCAAAGGGACCTGTGACCTGTCATGGAATGAAATGGGCAGATTTGTGCTTTTGAAATCCTGCTGGAGTGGGAGATGATGGGAGGAGAAGTAGCAGGACACTACCTGGGAGTGGTTTTAGATTATGAGGGTCTGATTATATGCCATTGTCAGCAAAGGTGGAGAAAATGGGTGGGCAAAATTTGAGAGCTATTTCTAAAGTCGAGCAGACATAGTAGGGAGTGGAAATGCAAGTGGAACAGGCTCTTGTGGCTCTGGCATGGGAAGCTTGGTGGTTGGATATACCGTTAACCACAGAGTGGCTGTGTCGATATAAATATAAAGATGGATGTTTCAGGTTAACCCACCCTCTCAAACATATTCTTTTTTTTTTTTTTTTTTGAGGCAGAGTCTCACTTTGTTGCCCAGGCTAGAGTGAGTGCCGTGGCGTCAGCCTAGCTGACAGCAACCTCAAACTCCTGGCCTCAAGAGATCCTCCTGCCTCAGCCTCCCAAGTAGCTGGGACTACAGGCATGTGCCACCATGCCCGGCTAATTTTTTGTATATATGTTAGTTGGCCAATTAATTTCTTTCTATTTAGAGTAGAGACGGGGTCTCGCTCTTGCTCAGGCTGGTTTTGAACTCCTGACCTCGAGCAATCCGCCCACCTCGGCCTCCCAGAGTGCTAGGATTACAGGCGTGATCCACCTCACCCAGCCTCAAACATATTCTTAAGATAGGTGGGCTCTTTGGCCACTGTACAGATTTGTGATGTCAAGTCAGGGAGGTTGTCTCTGCCTCACTGGCACGTGTCACTGGGAGAGACATGATGTGAGCACGATGCAAATGAAACGAAGACTGTGCGTTCACTCCTTCGGGTCCAGTTTTCACTTCCGCATGTTGGTGGGCAGGGATGGTCACTCACATGCCAGTCAGCCACCTGCAGCTGGGCACACAGGAGCCCTGAAGAGCCGGTGGAAAGGGTTGGCCCAAATCCAACCCTGCTGTTAGAGAAACAAAAGTAACCCCCAGTAATGGGAGCTCCGGAGCCTTCTGTCTATACTCGAAGACAACAGGAGAGGAGGTACAGGCACAGACCTGCTGGCAGGGCAGGCAAGTGCTGGCAAGTCTTGGTTCGAGTCACAGATTTTTAAAGGCAAGCGTATTGTCATAAGAAAGCAAATTTTGCTTTTCTCTAATCTAGTTTTTACAGTTGCCCCATGAGCACCAAATTTTAAGAATGAAATTTGGTAGGTTTTGTTTTTGGTTTTTGAGACAGATACCCACTCTGTTGCCCTGCCTGAAGTGCAGTGACATCATCATAGCTCACAGCAACTTCAAACTTCTGGGCTTGAGTGATCCTCCTGCCTCAGCCTCCTGAATAGCTGGGACTACAGGCACATGACACCATGCCCAGATAATGTTTCTATTTTTAGTAGAGCTAGGGTCTCACTCTTGCTCAGATTGTTCTCAAACTCCTGGGCTCAAGCAATCTTCCCTCCTCAGCCTCCCAAAGTGCTAGGATTACAGGCATGAGTTGCTGCTCCCAGCCATGTTTTGTTTTGTTTTGTTTTGTTTTGTTTTGTTTTGTTTTGTTTTGTTTTGTTTCGTTTGAGAGAGGGTCTCACTGCTGCCCAGGCTAGGGTGCAGTGGAGTCATCATAGTCCACTGCAACCTCAAACTCTTGGGCTGAAGAGATCCTCCTGCCTCTGTCTCCTGAGTAGTCCCTGGGACTCCAGGTATGTAGGTAGGCACATGCCACCATGCCCAGCTAATTTTTCTATTTTTTATAGAGACAAGGTCTCAAACTCCTGGCCTTAAGCCATCCTCCCACCTCGGCTTCCCCAAAGCACTAGGATTACAAACATGAGCCACCATCCTGGGCCTAAGAATTGTTTTTCATTAATAAATGTTTATTTTTTAGTATATACTACATGTAAATCACTTTTTTAAAGTTGAACAGCATAAAAATGTATACAGAGGCCGGGCACGGTGGCTCACACCTGTAATCCTAGCACTCTGGGAGGCCGAGGCGGTCGGATTGCTCGAGGTCAGGAGTTCGAAACCAGCCTGAGCAAGAGCGAGACCCCTACTCTACTATAAATAGAACGAAATTAATTGGCCAACTAATATATATATATATATATATATATATATATATATATATATATATATATATAAAATTAGCCAGGCATGGTGGCGCATGCCTGTAGTCCCAGCTACTCGGGAGGCTGAGGCAGGAGGATCGCTTGAGCCCAGGAGTTTGAGGTTGCTGTGAGCTAGGCTGACGCCACGGCACTCACTCTAGCCTGCGCAACAAGCGAGACTCTGTCTCAAAAAAAAAAAAAAAATGTATACAGAGAAAACCATGTTTTCCTCCCAACTTATTCCCTGGTTACCTAGTCCCCCTCCCCTAGAGGAAACCGGTTACCAGTTTCTTGTGTCGTCTTCAGAGAGAGTCCATGGTTTTTCAAGTGTATGAGCATGTGTGAGTGTGTATGTGTGCATAAATGCATCCATCTTTCATTATAATCAAGGACCTCTTCTATTAATATCTCCCAAAAGATAACTTTGTAGGGGAAATAGTGAATGGCTCTTGCTGCTTTTAATTCTTTTGCCTAATAATCGCCACCCTAGAAGGTGCTGTCCAGCACAATTATCTTAGTGATGAAATTAAAGAGAAGTAGCACAGGGTGACCAGCCTTCTGGGTAGGTTGGTAATGGTCCCAAGTGCTTTAATGTCAGTCCCCTTATTCCAGCTCTTTTATGAAAGACAACTTAATGAAAGTTGTTCAAAATTCAAGCTTGTAAAATATATTCTATTTTTTTATTATTATTTTTTATTTCAGGATATTATGGGAGTACAAACATTTGGTTACATGTTATGGTTTATTGTTTTTGTTTTTGTTTTTGAGACAGAGTCTCACTTTGTTGCCCAGGCTAGAGTGAGTGCCGTGGCGTCAGCCTGGCTCACAGCAACCTCAATCTCCGGGGCTCAGCGATCCTACTGCCTCAGCCTCCCGAGTAGCTGGGACTACAGGCATGCGCCACCATGCCAGCTAATTTTTGTATATATATTTTAGTTGGTCAATTAATTTATTTCTATTTTTGGTAGAGACGGGGTCTCGCTCAGGCTGGTTCAAACTCCTGACCTTGAGCAATCTGCCCGCCTCGGCCTCCCAAAGTGCTAGGATTACAGGCGTGAGCCACCACACCCCGCCTTGCTTGTTTGTTTTTTGAGACAGAGTCTTATTCTGTTGCCCGGGCTAGAGTGCCGTGGCATCAGCCTAGCTCACAGCAACCTCACACTCCTGAGCTCAGCAATCCTCCTGCCTCAGCCTCCTGAGTAGCTGGGACTACAGGCATGGGCTACCATGCCCAGCTTGTTTTTTCTATATATTTTTAGTTGGCCAATTAATTTCTTTCTATTTATAGTAGAGACAGGGTCTCACTCTTGCTCACGCTGGTTTCGAACTCCTGACCTTGAGCGATCCGTCCGCCTCGGCCTCCCTGAGTGCTAGGATTGCAGGTGTGAGCCACCATGCCTGGCCTGGTTACATGTTATGACTTTGCCTCACCCAAGCCAGGATTAGAGGCGCGCCCTTCCCTCATAAAATATATTCTATTATTCTATCTACCATCCAGTTTCCTATTTTTAAGTAATACAGCACTTGGACACAAATACCATATCATTTCAGTACACTGCTTTCAACACAAAGCTGGAAATTTTCTTCAAAAAGTTAATTGCCCTACCGTGTATATACAATCATGGATTCTGCTTTTGTCATGACATAGCCTTTGTAAATATTTTCTTGCTGTTTACTGGATACTTAGCCTATTTAAAATAAATTTATTGTTTAATTCCAATGCTTTTTTAAAAAGTAATTTCTTTTCTTATTGCAAAAGCATTATATACTAATCAAGGAAAAAAAAGAATCACCCACAGTAAGCCCACATAGATAACCCTTTTGTGTGTGTGTGTGAATATCCTTTCAGGTTTTTTCCAGTGAGATTATGTATAAACACTATTTTGTAACTTTTTAAGTAAAAAATCTTGTGTTGTTAAATTTATGGTAGAGTTTTTGAAAATACATAAAAAAATAATGGAGACAATAAAAATCCCTGGTAATTCCACCCTTCCTGTCCTCTCCCAAATATAGCATGGGTAGTTTGGATTCACTGAACAGATATTTAGAGATAGGATATTTGCAATTTGCAAGACAGCAGAGGAATGGGCAAAAGTTCTCTCTTTGCTCCTGGGGTACTACTGTATGTCAGAAAAAATTCTACAAATCTATTTTACAGCTATGCTATAATTTGTTTAATCAATTCCCTATTTTTAGATACTTTCCTATCCATAAATTTGGTTATATAAACAATTTTTTATGATTTATACTATTTTAGAAATATCATAATTTACATAACCTTTCTAACAACCTTTCCTGTCATTAGACATTTCAATTATTTTCAGGTTTGGTTTGGTTTTTGCTATTGTTAATGAATGACATAGCAGTTAGCAACACTATACATGAAACTTTGTTGAATATTTGTTTTCCTCTTTCAAAATTAATTTCTCTCTAATTGTTAAAGTAATGTATGCCAGTGTAGAAACTTTGGAAAATATGAACTATTATAAACAATAAGACAGAATCAAATCACCATAATCCCATAATTCCAAGACAATAGGTATTTATATATTTGTTTGTTTCCTTCTAGCTTTTTAAAAGTATACATATAAAATACATTTTAAAAATTTATTTTTCACAAAACCAAGCTCATAGAGAATTTACAGTTGAGCATATCTGAATGTCATTAAACATTCAAAAACATGATTTTTCACATTTTTATTTGGAAATTATTTCAAGTTTATAAAAAGTCGCAAAACTAAAATAGTGCAAAGAACATTGGTATACTCTTTACCCAGTTGTTAACATTGACCAATTGATAACATTTTACCCCATTTTCTTTATCATTTGCACACATGCTCTCTTTCTCTTTCTCTCATGCAGACTTTTTTCCTGAACCGTTTGAAGGTAAGTGACATACATCATGTCCCCTGACCCCTAAATACTTAAGAGTGTATTCCCTAAGAATAGGGATATTTCTCTTATATAGTCACAGTTCAATTTTGTAAGTTGAACCGGTCATGTCCTCTATAGCATTGTTCTCCAGTACACAATCCAGCCTCAGGTTTACTTGTCATATCTCTTTTGCTTCTTTAATATGAAACATTTCTACAGTCTATGTCTTTTAAAACATTGATATAGCCCCTCTTTTTTTTTTTTTTTTAAGGCTAGCTAAGTGAAGCAGTGGGAGTGGAGAAGGAACAAAGGAATCTGTAACTTGTGACCAAACACCACTGCTCTCAGACCAGCCTCCCCACTTTTTTAATAAGATAGCTCTCATTTTGTGTTTACCCAACGTTTCCTCAATGATTTTACTGAGAGTATGCTTTTTTTACCCAGAAACTGGCATGAGTGACAGTGTGACTTTCTCAGGGGGTCACATCTAAAGGCCCACAATGTCTACATGTCCCTAATTTAACTGTTGAGTTAATTTTGATCACCCAGTCAAGGTGCTGTCTAATTTCTGCACTGTATAACAGCTGATTTTCCCCCTACAACTAATAAGCAGTCTGTGGAGAGATACTTTTTAAGACCATGCAAATATCCTACGCCTCATCAAAATTCCCCATAGGTTTAGCATCTATTGATTCTTGCCTGATCTAATCTTTACCATGATGGTTTCTAAATGATTTTCCATCTCCAGCACTCCTGCCATGTTTAACAGCCAGCCCTCATCTTTATGCAGTGAACAAGAGCCCTCCCTTCTCTCTCATTTGCTTATCCAGTTATTATTGGTGTGGACTCAGGCATTCCTTTTATCCAGTGGTTTGTAATTCATTACTGTACTTTATTTTGGTGGTCAAGTTGTCCCAGATTTGACTGATGGGAGTGCCTTCAATCTGACTTCTGCGTCCTTATGACTTGCTCCCATCTTTTTCTAACTTTCTTGCATAATAAGATATTCCAAGTTCATCTAGCACCTGCTCTGCCCCAACCCTAGAATCTGCCACTTCTTCAGTGAGCCCCGGTTTATGCTGGTGCGGGATGATATTAGAGACAAGAAGACCTGGGCGTGTTCATGGCTGTTAGAGTGACTTTGTTTTTCCACCCTCCCAGACAAAGCCAGGAAATAGATGCATATATATTTATACACACACACATATACAAATATGCATATGCACATTCGTACATATGTATGTAATAGGCATGTGCACATAAACATGCTTATACACATGCTTATGTACATATTGTAAAAATCATGAGTTCATACAAGCACCTCCACCTCCAACTGCAATGTATCTTCACAGGACTTTTTCTTGTCTTCCTCCATTTCCCCAGTTGTACGTCCTTCCCTCCGCAGCAAGAATCCTGACACCCAATAACACCTCTCTCTCTCTCTCTCTCTCTCTCTCGCTCTCTCTGTCTCCTCTCTCTCTCTCTCTCTCTCTCATTTATTCATTCATTCAGTCCTGTAATACATGTAAAATAGTTTCAAAACTGCTTTACCCATGCCTATAAAATAAACAAACCTGCTTACAAATTTTTAGATAAGATTCACTTGCAATTCTTCCCCCACCCCCATACACACACACACACACACACACACACACACACACACACACTGCCCCCAGCATCACTTGGAAGCTCGTTAGACATCCTACTGAATCAGAAACTCTGGGCTAGAGCCCAGTAACCTGAGTTCTAACAAATCCTTGAGGTTTTTCTAATGCGTGCTAAAGTTGGAGAAGCACAGCCCAAAATATGCAGCCTGGGTTTGTTACATGTGTGGATATGTACACATATCCGACATGTTATTATGTTAAATAACACTTTAAACATACTGTAAATGTAATAACCATAATAAAACAGGCCCAGTAAAAACCAGTAGGGGTCTTTCTGTCACAGCAGCGTGGTGGGGAGGTGTAGCTATAAAAGTATCTCTAATTCTTTGGTTCATCTCCTGGTGCCAGCCCAGTGGATAACCAGGGCTGCCACAGAAACCCTGCTCTCCCTCTTTCTGGGTGTGAAATACCCTAATCTGCCAAGGGGATGTTCTCCCGTCCCACAGCTCCCTCCATCCTGCCTTAGGCCCTTGGCAGTAAATTCGGAGGAGTCAAGATGGAGGAGGCCCTGTCCGTTAGTGCTAAAGAGCTCTGAGCCAGTCATCTGATCCTTTCTCTGTTGTCACCCAACTTCCTCTTTCGTCATAATCACAGAACAAAACCCTCCACCTCCAGCAGCGAACCCCGTGGACACTTCCCCCTCTGAGCCTGCCCCAACCCCACACACATGCTCTTCTTTTCCTCTCCCAGACTGTGACAATCGCTGTAGCGTGATTTTACAGGGGGGAGAGAGAGGAAGGTTACCTGGACCTTCCCCGGTTCCGCAGAAAGATCCCACAAAGCAGGCTTTCCTAGACCTGAGATCACAGGAATCACCTGGTGTTCTTCCTAAAGTCCAGATTGCCACGCCACTCCCCTAAAATTCTGATTTATTCAGTCTGTGCTTTATAGTCAGTCAGTATGGATTCAGTATGGACTCAGAATCTCAGGCCCCACCCTGACCTGCTGAATCAGAACCTTCACTTTAACAAGATGTCCGTGTAATCCTAGCACTCTGGGAGGCCGAGGCGGGAGGATCACTTGAGGTCAGGAGTTCGAGACCAGCCTGAGCAAGAGCGAGACCCCCGTCTCTACTAAAAATTGAAAAATTAGCTGAGCATAGTGGTGCATGCCTATAGTCCCAGCTACTCGGGAGGCTGAGGCAGGAGGATCACTTGAGCCCAGGAGTTTGAGGTTGCTGTGAGCTAGGCTGATGCCACGGCGCTCTAGCCTGGGTGACAGATAGAGACTCTGTCTCAAAAAAAAAAAAAAAAAATGTCCAGGTGACTTAAGTTCGAGAAGCACTGATTTAGACTGATGGTTCTCAGCCTTGGGTATGTATTAGCATCACCTGGGGAGCTTTCAAAAATCCCAGGCTTAGGCTTCTGCTGGACTGAATAAATCAGTATCTCTGGAGATGGGTCCTAGGTACCAATGCTTTTAAAGTTTCTCAGTGGTTCCCATTTATAGTCAAGACTAAGAACTTCTGAGGGTCCCCCCAGCCTCTTCCACTGCAGAATCCAGGTCAGCCCTGATGCCCAGGAGAAAGGAATGATATCCCTCACCCATGGATCCAGGGCTCCAATAGCCAGAGGTCCCATCCAAAATGTCTAATGACTTGGTAGTTGCCAGAAGGAAAAGAAACAAAATAAGGCTGAGCATGCTGGCTCACTCCTGTAATCCCAGCACGTTGGGAGGCTGAGGTGGGAGGCTTACTTGAGGCCAGGAGTTTGAGACCAGCCTAGGCAACAAAGGAAGACTGCATCTTTGCAAAAAATGTAAAAATTAGTAAAGTGCGGTGGCATGTGCCTGTGTTCCTGGCTACTCGGGAGGCTGAGGCAGGAGGATCACTTGAGCCCAGGAGTTTGAGGTTGCAGTGAGCTATCACTGTGCTACTGCACTCCAGCCTGGGTGACAGAGTGAGACCACATCTCTAATTTAAAAGAAAAAAGAGAGAGAAACAAAAAGGGATTTTATTTTGCCTTATTTATAAAGCATTCTTCATCTGAGTCCTGCATCCCTTGAATTTTAATTTCTTCAAGACTATTCCCCTGGGGTCATCTCATTAATTTCTTGTTATGGTTTCTACCGCACAGACTCTGTGGATATTTGCTGACATTATCCATAAATCTTATCTTTATCTCCTCCATATTTAACTAAGGCGTATGTGGACCAATCACCACTCAGATTTAACAAGGAAGGACACAGGCAGCGTACCTCTGCCCTCTGGTGCCCACTGCCTCCACCTGGGCACCTGATCTTGGTGGGGGGGGGCTGATTACCCTGCTCCCATCTCATCTCAGTGTCCCAGCCCAGCCTCCTTCTGCTGCTCCAGCTCCACTTCTCCAGCCTGCTCCCCGCCTGGCCCTGACGACCTTCTGACTCAGTCATAGGAGTGGTGACAGGACAGCTTCCTTTGCCCAGGGCTCAGCCAACCTTTCTTGAATTCTAAGTGACACTTCAGAAATATCCCCACTGTGCCATTAAACTGTTTTGAAGTAATTATTCAGTACAGGGATCAAAGCTGTCTCATGGAACTTCATCCTATGTACACATATTTGTCTTGGGTGTCTCTATTTCCTATGGAGCCACATCCAACTTACTTATCCAGCAAGGATGCTGAGTATGCCAAAGAAATAACCCATGTTCTAGTCTTTTGTGGACTGTGTGAGAGAGATGGGCAGGTAAGTAACTAATTATATTGAGGGTGGAGGTGCCCTGTGGGCACGGAGACAGCAACTCTCTCTGGATGGGAGAGGGAGTGAATGAAGAAGGCTTAGCAGAAAAGGAGATGCTTGAGGTTGGCCTTGCTTACGTAGGGAATTTTTTGCACAGAAAAGAGAAAAGGAAGGCTATTCTGGATGGAGGAAACATCTTGAGCAAAGGAGCAGAGGTGTGAAAGTTCATACTGTGTTTAGGAATGACTCCTGAGCAGTGTGGCAGGAGTGATGGGTGGGTAGCAGGTGCACAGCAGTGGGAGGTCAGACCGAAAGGTGGCTGGGGTCAGAGTGTCAAGGTCTTTGAGTATCATGGTAGAGCAGACTCCAAGGGCTTTCCTCCTGGGCTCCTGGGGACCCTTGCAAAACTATTTGTATAATGCATGCCATTAGGAGACTAGCATTTACAATTTGATTTTACAGACAACTTTCCAGAAGTGCAAACAAGAAAAACCTCACCAATTTGAAATTAATTGTAGAAAATGTATGGTGCCTTAGTGAAAAGTGAAAATGGTAGGTTATTTTCTAAAGGAATTCTATTTTATATCTTCCAATTGCTATGAATGTTATAAAGTAATATATACAGCTATTAATTACAAAAATGGGATCAATAAACTAAGACTTACAATTCACAATGGGCCTATGTGAG